GTGAGCCGCTTTACAAACGGCACCTCATAGTTAACTGTATGCATTAGTAATCAGTTCATGACTCCTCACCTCCCTGGGAGTTTTCTTCCCCTTTGGGGTATCTGAGCTGGATTCGAAGGTCAGGCTGACATCAGACCCGTTCGTTTCTGGCACTGACTTTTCTGGACGGGCAATTAGAGTGTACCCATCATCCTGAGGCTCCCTGGACATGTGCATTGTGTAGGCGATGGTGGGTTTGGCAGGATTTGATTTTACTGACAGGAAAAAAAGAGAAAAAAGTGAAATACTGAGCCAAAAACACTCTGGTCATTAATAATTTAAGTCCCATAGAGGATCATGTACTTGCTGCTGGTGCTTCCACCCTTGGTTTTTGCGTAGCTAAGTAGTCCTGGGGGGAAATCAGGTTGCTCGTTTCAAGAAGATCTTTGTCTACACACCAGGTAAACGCTGATTTGACTGAAATTAGAGATAAAAAGATAACATCAAATAAAGAGCATTATAACATCCCTGGACAGCATAGTGTGTACTTCAGGAAAACAGCACAGTTCACAGCAGTGTAACAACTCATGACAGTGTCTCGTCTCACCTGTAAGGAGGCCTTGGTGATCCTCAACATCTCCGATCTTCTCTTTCATCCTCTCATAGGCCTGGCTTTCTGTGGCTGCAGCCCGAGCTCTGGCCTCAATTATATGACTCTCCAGCATGTCGGCCTCTTTTACACGCCGGCTGTATTCAGAGTGAGCCTGGATTGGAAATAAATGACTGATTTAAACACACGGTTGTAATATTTGCATTTAGTAGAGGCTGCCTCAATCACGGGGTTGTTAGTTAGGCTACCTGCTGGAGCTCTTCCACATATCTGTCATGGTAGCTGCTCCGTCCACTCTTTGTCTTGATGAGGTTGGACAAAGTGTCTTTCCCAATGATGTCTTTTGTGTAAAGGTCCTTGAAAGTGCTCGCTAACACATGAGAAATGTCCTAATGCACAAGGAGGAGACGTGAAGTCGTTTTACTTGAATAGGAATTGAGTTTGTTCTGTAAAGTGTAAGGTGTGTGTTACCTGTGACTTTCCTGATGCGGGTCTGTGACTGTTCACAGACGGATCAAACTGGGATTTTCTCCTCGCCTCTTGCTCCTCTAACATGGTGCAGAAACACTGAGTCTCTCGTGTAACGTGAAGTTTATCAGCACGTAAAGGCGAAGTCAAAACAGAAAAGCTACACGGAGCGTTAGCGAGGACTGTTTCACCAATCATTCACCTGTCAGATATATACTTAACAATTTGGCTACAGCTGCAGCTTAAACTCAATGTTGTGCTTCATTAACAGCTCGGTGCTCTTCCGCCATATTTGTGTACATGTTGTTGCCGTAGCGACGGCCGCAGGTAGCCTACATCCGTTCTTTCACTCCGGATGTCACAAAACATAAACAGTATAAAAGAAAATATACAACATTGCTCTTTTGAATGGGACATGAAATGAAATGAAACATGTGATGCTGGATTTTAAAACATACTTTGGAAAAGAACATGATTTGGTGTAAATATTAACCATTTCTAAAAGATCCAGCAGTGAACACAATATTACACATCAATACATTCATAAAAAGACATTTTTGAAGAACATACCATCATACTCATACTCACCATTTTTTACACATGAAGTCTTTAAATATGAGAGGGGCTTATATAGGACTTTTTTCACTGTTAAATGTTCCAAAAACCAACCAACAAACATATATTTATCAGTACACAATCCACAATCTTTATTTTTTTACATTTTGACTGAACATAAACATTGTGTTTTGCTTTCCTGTACTGATGTTGTAACCTGTGTTTAAAAGAGTGCTATATAAAGACTTTACTTACTTACTTACTTACTTACTTACTGTAGAGGAAGATATACCTTTGTCACTATCGCCTAAATGAAACTTCACCTTTATAAAAACGTTATAAAACTATATTTATATATTCATATATATATACATATATTAATATACCATTAATACACCAGTGGGCACGGAACTATTAAAGAACTAAAGTTTCCTTGATGTCCTAAAACTGACTGAAACAAAAATAAATAAATAATTAAAAGCTGATTAATTAAGACAGTAAGGTCAGTGACCCTATTAAATGTTGACATTCTTTGCAGTAGCATGTATACAGTCAGGAGAGGAGACATTACATGTGTCACCTGATGAACTGAATCTCATGAGACCACAAGGAACACGCTTGTTAAACAATCACACCCTCATACCCTGCTGTGGTCTGAGGTGTAGCTGTGTTGCCTATGTGATTTATTTTCTGTGATGCTACCTTGAAAGAGGCCCTGGCTGTCCTTGTACAGTGCAAGAAGTACAAACAGGTACTGAAAGAGGTATGTAAGGACAAGTGGCTTCAGCCGATTGTGTCATGCAAAATCTTGTGGAGCCTCATACAAAAAAGTCTGGTTTCTGTGTAAGAAATACCTACTAAAAGTCAGTGTTTGCCAAAAATCTAGACACCCAAAACAAAATCCTTGACTGTACTGATCAGCTGCAGTGCTCAAGTGGGATTCTCAAAGAGGCGATTGTTGAGCTCACTTTGTAGAGCCTCGTGGTTTGCCAGAGAAAGAGCAGGGTTTTTTTTCACAAGACTTGCCCCAGCATGAGAGTTCATAGGACAGAACAAGTTGGCAGACACTGACAATAGAGAGGCACAAAGAGGAATCTGTCTAATCCCTCATATATTACATTCTAACAACAAACAGCAGCTTGTGTGTCCACGGCACAAACATGATTTACCTACTACTACTTTAGAGTATATTGGCTATATAATTGACACGAACAACAAGAAGACCAAGACCAAGACCCCCTTTAATAATTTGCTAGTATTTTTGTGTTCACAAGAGATGGGCTAGGCATGCATGACAAACAGCACCTGCTCATTTAGCGTTGAGTTGTTGCTTTAGCACATATTTCTGTTTAAATCAGCCAAACACTGGTGCTGAATCTACTACGGATTGATGCCTTTAGCTGCTGTCAGAAGGCCGAGATCACGTAAAAGATCTTAGGAATTACAATAGTGATGACTGCAGATTATGGTGTGATGTGCAGTGATGATACTCCCAACATTAACTGTGCAGTGTAATAAGGTAGAGGGGAGAGGCAAGAGCACACCTCAGAATGCCATAAATGCCAGGTCTGCACCAGACAAGGGCAACACCCATAAGCAAATCAAATCACACTCAGGGTGTCATAATACTACAGAAAGAAAAAAAATAATAATCAGGACACTGAGTTAATGCACACAGCAAAAGGCTCCATATAACATTATCTTAACAAGGTTTATGTTAGACCTTGTGCAAGTGTTTATTTCCAGCCTATGTTGATAGAATTCCTCCCAAAGGTGCAGTTTCTATTGGGAGGGAGCTGAATGAGAATTCATGACAGCAAACACAGTGTTGTACTTGTCAGACCGGTGTTGCAGTGGGTGTGGACTGAGGGCGAATAAGAGCCTGATGGGCTGGAATTAACTGCGCATTGTGTGGGTCGGCTCAGAGAGGGGGGCGCAGATTGGATTTTTCCCCCTTGCACAGGACAAGCAGACAAGTTTTTTATGGTTGTGATAACTCCTAACGTATAGTCGACACTATCTCGGAGGAGAAAAGAGGACTTTAGTCCGGCGCATGGTGGTTTATTTTGACTGGAATCACAATGGAGTTAAATGGCACAGCTGGGAACGTTGGTGAGTTGGTGTGTGGTGGCGCACAGATTTACTACCTTTTTATCACTTCGAGGTCTCACCTGTTCAAGAGAGGAGTGGGTAATATTCACTATACTTAAGTTCATATGTGAAATGAGAGTTTATATTAGAGAGAGAGTTAATTTATATTATAACCTGTGTCAAAGAGAAGCTGAGACGTTTTTAAAAGGGTAAAATCAGAAAAATGCAAATAGCCAGTGTTGGGCAGTAACTCATTACTAGTGATAATATTACTTTCCCCAGTAACTAGTAATTTAATTAATTACTAATAATTACCCCCAAAAAATATAGCCTATTTACAGCGTTACTTTTGTTACTCCTACTAATTTGAAATCCAATCACATTCTTTGATCCATTTTATTTATCATAAAAGATGGAAAAAGATGGATCATCACTTTAGTGGGGAGTAGTAGAAAAGTAATATAACTAATAGTGCAACTAATTGATGTTGGCAGGAAGTAAAGTAAAGTATTAATATGCTTTTGAAAGTAGTAATGAGTAATAAGTTACATTTATTGAGTAACTAGTATCCTCCACAGATATTCAAAGTTGCAGCAGTGGTTTTGTTTGGTTGCCATGACAATATCACGTTTCACAAAGTAGGAAAAGACCACAACAACAGATCTATACTAAAGGGACAAGTACAGCTGTGTTTCTACCATCAACCACATTTTAACTGAGATTCAAATACTTTACTAAAACCCCCCAAAAAGTTTCTAGCAGAAGTCAGGATTTCCATACATATCCGTGGGGTGGCGCTATCCATCAAGGTGACAGGATTGGTGTTCGAGACTCTATAGTGTTTGGAATAAGATACAGCAACCTGATGTGCCAATCAGAGGCATTAACACCAATCGGGTTTAACCCAGAACTCCTATACAGACCGTCCCCTTCCACTCAGGTGTATATAGTCCTAGTCCTGGCTGCAGCTGTGTACAGACACCGCTATAGATGTGTTAAGACCCGCCCCTTGAGGGGGGAACTACTAGTGACTGCTTCTCCTCCACAGGCGAGCACAGATTAAAGAGCGACTGGATATTGATTTGTTTTATCATAATTTTTTAAGTCATTCCACAATGTCTTGTTTACATAAACGTCCGAAAAGGACCCTATCGCAGGAGCAGGCTCTCCAGGAACAGGTGAAAAAAGTTGCAAAGGAAAATGGAAAACGCCTAGGTAAGTCTCCACCCCCCCCCCACCAAAAAAAAGGTGCCAAAAGACGCGCGCACTAATTCTTTTGCCATTACGCACACGCGCACTCACACATGTACACAATAATGTTTTCATAGCTTGGATTAAAGATAGATCCTGATCTTGTCAACATAAATGACTGATCATGTAACCTCACAGGGTAACTCGTGTGTTTGTGTTGCTGGCAGGTAACTACTGTGTAGTGCGGTAAAGACGCGTTTTAAAGGGTTGCCTGGAGCGGTGGATTGTTTCTTCGTGCCACGATGACGAGAGGAGACAGTAAAGAAAATTAAATGTCCTCACAAACAAACAAACAAACAAACACAGGAAGGCGTTTAACGTTAAAGAAGAGCGTAATGAACAGACGGGAAAGTCCTCTGTGGGGTTTCTCTGTGCCTCCTGTTTCTCATGTTGTGTCATTTAACTGAGCGGCAGAGTTTCAGTATTTATTAGTTAGAAAGAAGTGACAGCACATGAATGCAAAGTAAACTGTTAGAAAAGCTCTCTAGAGCAAATGACACATGACTCTAGTCACTGAATTTGGCTATAACATGTGAAAGCATGAGTGAATTACAACATATTATTTACCCGTTGCATTTTTTACCTGTTTATTTTTCTTTTATTAGGCATTCATACACACAAACACACTTTTGGAGCGTCTGTCGTGTATAAAAAGTTTCCTCAAATCTCAAACCACAGTTATTTTGTTACTGGAAAGACAAAACGTGTTATTTTGTACCCAAAGAAAGGTCACAAACTCCCACTCAGGTTGTGTGTGAACCCTTATTATTAGTAAATGCCCTAGAGCTATCACTCCCTGTTATTTCACCTTAATTCTTCCAGTCTTCTTGCCCTAGCTTGCCTCACAGGGTGTAGGCAGTCACTAGGTTGAAGATCTTGAACCTGGAAATGATTACTCTGCAAAAAAAAGGGGAAAAGAAAACTCATATGCTCACAAACACCCGTCAGATGTAGAGTAAGACTCACTTTGGTGATGTGGGGGAAGTGTTACGAATTTAGAGGCATGTTTTGTCGCTGCTCTGTTTTAATAACATAAAGCCGGTACGTGCACCTCTTCTTCATGGTTAAGTAGATTACATGGAAAAAAGTGAGACAAACAAGTAGAAGCTGAAGGAGTTCTGCCTCCAACAGATAAGCCTGGCTGAGCAGAGGCGGCGTCAAAGCTCACGAGCCAGCCTGCCGGCGCCGAGGCCAGAGGCTCATAAACAGCCTCTGTCAGTTTGTGGTGCGATTTGGGGAAAAAATGTCTGTAATGTTGTGGTCCTGCCCACGACCCTGACAAAGTCCCAGCTGAGTTGTAGTGAACGCAGCTATCCTCAAATGCCCTGTTTACTCAGAGGACATATACAGATTTTTTTCTTTTGCTGCTCTGTATTATTTATGTATCCAAAAAGCTGCAAGCAGACTTCAGCCCCACCCAAAATACTGGCTGACAAACACAAACATTACCTCACATCTGCACCGATGGAAAACAAAAAAACCAAACGTTGTCCTGTGAGCTTGTTTGTGGCTCGGTGTTGTACATGAATTGTGAATCATTCTTTCAGTTGATGTCACACACCCTTCCCAGAAAGCCATAACCAGCAAATGACTTCACCTGAATGATAAGACACTGGCGCTGCTCCCTGTGAAATGCTGTATGAAACACTACACTGTCCACCTTAGAGAGCCTGTTTACTGTGACAAGATCTTATCAGCTGACTGTGCTCACATTTCTATTACCAAACCACACAAGGGCCTTTTCAAACAAAAGTAATAGTAATAAAAGTGAAATCAGACATGTTTTAATATAATTATGATGTCCAGAAACTTTTATAAAGATTTTATAAAGGGACATAATAGTGTACGCTTAAAGGGCCACACCACTGATTTTACACATTAAGCTTTTACTGGAGGAGTGCTAGCCAGTGAAGAGAGATGATTCACCTGTTGTTTAAATCTAAATCTTGAAATAAAGCCTCTCTTAATGTTCTCCTTCCCTCCTGTAAGGATTTAATTTAATTTAACATTCTTTTTTAATGGGAGTACAATACAAACTCACAGGAGAATCCTTCTAAGCAAATAAAATTAGAAGTGTATTGGAAACTAACTAATACTTACTGAACTATTTTCCCTTGTAACAATGTCATAATCCCACATTAAAACATTATAGGTTATCTAAATGTTTAATTAATTGTGTATGACCTCTCTCCACCCTCTCCAGGTTTGGAGGGCGATGCAGATCTGCAGTTCTTGCTGCTCGGCGGGGAGCTTGTCAAGATTCGCTCGAGCTCCTGGAAGAAGAACCGCTTCTTCAAGCTGCAGGAAGACTGCAAAACATTTTGGCATGAATCCCACAAAACATTCAGGCGAAACCAAACTTGTGAGTGTCATCTTCTCCATGTGTTTTTGCGTACCTCTGTTATTTGTGTGCGAGAGAGGTGGGATTTAGTTTTACATAATGCACAAAAAGAGGAGAAACTCTATAAAACTAAAATCCCTCTGAGTTCTGTAAGTTATTTTACTTGGGCTGTTTCATCTCACTGTCTTTTTCTGCTATTATTCTGTCAACTCAGAGTTCTCCTTTCAGATCTCAACAATAGCTTTACAATGCACGCACACAAACACACCCTTCAAATCCCACTAGTGCTCCAGAATATGCGAGAAGTGGTGGTGAGATGGAAACAACTCACACAGACACTGCAGCCAAAGACAGACTGGAAAATACTAGTGTGAATCCCGACTGTATGTTTGTCCATGTGTGTCTGAGAGAGATTATTTTCCTCTGATTTCTGGGTTCAGTGGTTCACTGTCATAGTGTGAATGTATGTTGTAAGTCCTCTGAGCCACTGGTAGTGCTGATCTATCTCCCATCCCAGCAGCAGCTGTTGGTACTGGGCCTGATAACCTCTGCCTCGAGCCTGAGTCTTGAACAAACACTGAAAGACAGAGCAGGCCACCTTATAGTCCCCATACAGACACATTAGATACACATACAGAGGTGACAGACAGATGCAGTTGTGTGAACGGTCATGTGTCAAAGCTGTTGACATGACCAAACTCGCTTAGAGATGGGCTTTTTTATTCACAGGCATTTCCTGTTTACGGACATAAGCCTGCATTTTTTATTGCTTTCCTGTGGGCTTGAGCAAGCCACAATTACCAATCAGCTCTAAAGTGCTTTGACATAAGGTGGGAGTGTGGGAGGAGAGCACGTATTGTTTTCTAAGCACTTTTTGTATGAGATTCATCTGCTGCAATAGGTTAAGCTTTCTGTCAGTCCGGTTATATATGGTCACCCTGTTTCTCCAGATTGCATGTCTCTCTCTGTGCTGGAAGAGGGATCTGTCCTGTCTTGCTCTTGATGAGGTTTTTCCCTTTTTCCTCGGAATTTAGGATCTGGGAAAAGAGAGTTATATGTTATAATGTTATGTTATGTTATAAGACAAGTATACAGAGTCACTCTGGGATATGTAAACAATACTCACTCATCTTACCTTAACCTGTACAGACAGTATTTTTTATATGGAAAATGGATCAAATGGCACTGTGTATCTGAAAGTGATCGCTTGTATTGACAAACCCATTAATAATTGCCACCCTACTCTGCCGTTCCCTTTAGCTATAGATAGTGTTTTAGCATCTTGCAGCTAATTGTTTTGTTTTTTTCATATCGTTGTTTTCGGCTGCAGCAGAAAACCCGCTGTACTCTACGTACTCGGAACTTAACCATGGACAGAAAATGATAGTGACACAACTCCAAATACATTTTGTGTCATAATCTAAATACGCTACTGATTGTTAACATGTTTGTGTCGAATTAAGAGGTTATAATATGCTTATTATTAATTGCTCAACGTATCAGTGTCGAATATAGAAAGAAGTTTGTCTGAATAAACTACAGTAACTTTTTGACTCTTGATTTTGGCCGGTACTAAAATCGTACTGGGATGTAGGATATGATGCCTGTAAATCATCCACACGCTCTACTCTGGATTTTTTTTTTTTCCCACACTCAGTGACAGTCATTTGCTTTGATAACATTCACAGACACACAAACACACACAGATACATATGCACATACATGCTGTCAGGTTAGGGTTGTATAAGGTAGATGTCAGTTTGAAGAGAAGAGTTTTAGAAATAGCTGCATGAACTTTGTCGGGGCTGCCACAATAATCTCATTGTGTGAAATTTCATCTGGTATTTAAGCAATGCCAACGTGACACGGATGACATGACTTGGACATTGTGGTTAGGCTCTCCAGATGGCATTCTCTGAAAATGATCCAAATTCACAACCCTAAACTCCTCTACAGACGTTTATTTTGCTGGGGATAATGTGCATGCACAGATTAAACAGACAGTCCTCTTCTGGTGAGTGCCTCCAAGGTATTTTGTTCATCCAGCAGTCAGCTGAGGGTATACCACCAAGCCTTGGGTGTGTTTCACCACACCGCCCCCTCATTGTTGTGTTTTTCTCTTCAAGTAGCCTGACCTTTAGCTTCATCCTGCCCCTAGATAGTCTCCCATCCTCACAGAAACAATGGTCGCTCTTCATTAGACTCGCCAAGCCCGCGATGTAAAGGGTAGAAACACTGTGATTGTAACCCAGCTGCAACATATGGCCTCTTAGCTAAGCCTGTGTTCTTTGGGTTTTGTTATATGGGTGGTTGTTGCCATTTAGTGTGATTACATCATGCGTGGTCCTGCATGCTCTTCCGTACATTAAGCTGCTCAACAACAGAGCTGTCACCAAACCTATGGGTAAAAACTGGCTGTGTGCAGACCTTGGCAGTATGTGGATGTCTAACAACAAATTTTTTGTCCTAGAAATGTCCATCATAGTACTTTTTGAGTGCATGTGTTGCCCATGTGTAAGGCAAGGAGATCAAGGGAGGCCAGATTGCATCAAACTGTTGTTAAGTGCAGTAATCAAATCTCCATGGAATGTGTTTGGGTTGTTCAGCAGATGTCTGAGAGATCGTCGCTTAGACAGTCTCAGAGGGCTCTTAAAACTAAACTAAATCTGTTTTATGTGGAGTTGCTCAGTTCAGTTTTTTGGTAAATAAGGATCAGGATCAACCTACTGTTGTTATACACAGTATGTTTGGTAGCTATTGGATAGTTAGTAAGTTCAAGTACAAGTTCATATCTCACCACACAGCAAATCTCTGAAAGTTATTCTTAATTTCTGCATCACATAAGAGATTTTTTGGAGCAAATTCGTCTTCTTTAGGATCTTCTGGAAGGGAAATATTTGCATTTAGACTGTACAAAGTAAAGCTGTACTAATCAATATTTCTATATTAACAATGGATCAAGTGACTACATTAATGTGAAGGGGGTCATTCATCGTGACAAACACTTAACTCTGCAGTTTCCCTGCAGCTCTACCAAGCATTTTAGTGTCTTTTTGCTCTTTGTTTTGGTTTTATGGCTGACAGTTTTCCTGGTTTGGTTCTCTCTCTCTCTCACTGCTCTAATGAACATTATTTCCAGCAGAAGCCAGCTATTTAAATGGAAAAACTCTGATAAACCCACTACTACACCAACTATCCCCAAATGCTATAACAAAGTACTGAGGATTGTGGTTCATTTAGAATCTAAAGATCCCTCAGGAGCTGTTGGAGACAAAAACACTTACTAGAAGTAGAATGAAAATTGGGCTTAAATTCATTAGGTGGTTAAAAACACCCATTTAAATGAAAAATGTCTGCAGTCATATTAATGTGCAGCCTTTTTAATCAGTTGTTACTGCTTTAAAATTACACAGAAGGTTAGACTGCACCATTGTCCAAACCTTCGGTATGCTTGAAGGCTGTTGATGAAGAGTTGTGTTTTTATCTGTCGCATTGTGCCTTGTGAGTGAAGGCCACCGAAATGAGCTCCCACACAGAAATAAATGCCTTCCTGTAGATAAGATGTAAAAATAGTGTATGGTGCTCTGCGTTGTTGTACCCATCAGGACAAAAAGGTCTGCAGCCACAAGATACTGACTTGTCTAAGGAAGGATTATCAAGTTTTGCTTCAAGGTGCCAACTGTCACTGCCAGCAACTTCATGGTTGTGGCCAAATATCACACTATATATGGTTCTAATAAAACCAGTAAAACCACAAAAACAGTAATTATGAATGCTGATACAATAGACAATTGATTAAAAAAAACATAGTAGAATGTAGAATTTCTGTAATAGATTTTGTTTTGTATTGAGCTACATGTGTGCAAATTAAAGGCTGAATTGAAGGACAATTAAATGAAGTTCTATATGTTTTGGACTGATACATTGCTAATGAGTGTTTCTCAAAAATGGAAATATAATAATGTAGTATTATACGTATGTTTATAATGTAATATCAAATATATTACATTACATTTTGTGGATGAAGGAGACATTGATTTGATTTTGTTTGTAATCCAGACCGGGAGTTTCCACCATTGAATAATTAATTTGTGAAAGATAGAGAAGACTTGAAATCCTGAGGGGATGAAGCATGTCAAACTCAATTTAACTCAATGTTTAAATAATCTGAATATTGTCTTTGGCAACTACAACATGCTGAAGTACTGTTTAGACTTGTTTAGGCTTCACTTTGAATGTATTTAATGGTTGGAGGGCTTAAATATGCAAACTCCAGTTATTTCCAAACCAGCGCTTGGCGACGTGTCAAGAGCCAGAATTTCTAACAAACCCCATCCTCTCTCCATACAGTCTCCATTGATGACATTGATTCAGTGCGCAGGGGCCGTCAGTCTGAGGGACTTAATAAACACACCGAGCCCACTGTTGAAGAGAAGTGCTTCTCCATCATCTTCAAGGGCCGCAAAAAAAATCTCGACCTGATGGCAGCCAGTGGGGGGGAGGCGAAACAGTGGGTCAACGGCTTGGAGAAGATCATCAGCAATATGCGCAACCTCAACCCCCAGCAGAAGAGTGCGCAGTATCCTTTACAAAGTCTGTTATTGGGAAATGTGCATACATATTTCCACTGAACTCTTGCTAAGTGCTTTGTTGTTTGATTCTTTATTGCAATATGTTTGGGAAATCTGTGGTTGAGTTGTGTAATTGAGCATGTAGAATATGCGTAAACCAAATCCTTACATCTAAATGCCAGCTGGATCATTAATTGCATGCGGAAAGCAGACAAGAATGGGGACAACAAGATGACCCTGAAGGAGGTGAAGCACTTCCTGCGACAGATCAACGTTGAAGTGAACGACACTTACGCAGAGGAAATTTTCAAGGTGAGTCCCTCAGAAAATTCATTAATGAGCCATTGTATCATTTAAGATCAATGTATTGTTCATTAAATGCATAGTAATGCATTCGATTTAAAATCTAGTTTGTCTGGTTGATTGATTGTCTCATCGTGTCTCATGTTGCATAGAAATGTGACACGTCCAATTCAGGCACCTTGGAGGATTCAGAGATTAAGGATTTCTACAACCTACTGACGCACCGCGAGGAAGTAGATGTGATTTTTGCGAAATACGCTGAAACAGAGGGTCAGATGAGTGTCAAAGACCTGCGGAACTTCCTGTTGAATGAGCAAAGAGAACCGGCAACCACAGAGGACGCTCTAAAGCTGATTGAAAAATACGAGTTGGATGAGAACGGTAGGTTAACTCGGAAACAGAATCATTCATCTTTTTCTGTTTTATGCAACACTACACAGTATTGCTAGCAGGTGTGCAGAACAATTATGTCCATGTTGAATTATTATGTTCTATGTTGACCTTATTCTGTAGTTCACATTCCACATATCGTTTCAGATTAATTGTGTCTGTTTTCTGTCCACTAGCAAAGGAGAAGAAGCGAATGAGCAAAGATGGCTTCCTGATGTACCTGCACCAGGAGGATGGCTCCATCCTCAACCCGGCCCATAAACACGTGTACCAGGACATGCACCAGCCCCTCAACCATTACTACATCTCCTCATCACACAACACATACCTGATGGAGGACCAATTAAAAGGACCCAGCAGCACAGAAGCCTACATAAAGTAACTACTTTTACCAACATACTAATATAAACAGCTTTACACCATTATGCCAATTGTATTATTTTTCCTTAAATTTAGTATTTGCTTGTGTCCTGTTGTACTTATGTTGGACAGACAGATCATCCTTTTCCACCAGGAACTAAACCTGGGAACTTAATTCGAAGTCTTTTCTTATTCACCTTTTTCATAGATAAACATGAAATCATTGTATTAATCTTTGTAATTTACTATGGCATAACTGTATACAATATAATATAAATATATATTTTAAATTTTGTTTAAACAGCAGTAGTATTACAAAAAAAAGTCCAATCCCAAGTTCTTATATTTATACTAGCGACAACCAGTGTCTGGTGATTCACACAAGTGTAGCACTTAGTCACAAAAGGTTCTACCTCAGGAGCAGTGACTCTTTAAGGGACAGGGAGTGTGGGAAGTTAAGTTCCTGGAAACATTTATGCGCTGTTAAAGAGGACATGAGTGATTCCAGTATTGTAGGTTTTCATGAAGGTTTTTTCTGACCTTGCAGAGCACTGATGAAGAGCTGTCGCTGTGTGGAACTGGACTGTTGGGATGGAGCTAACGGGGAGCCTGTTATATTCCACGGCCACACACTCACATCCAAAGTGATCTTCAGAGACGTCATCAAAGCCATCAAAGACTACGCCTTCAAAGTATGTGGGATACATTACCTGTGGGAGCAGATCTATCGTTTAGTTTCCATTCCTATTGTTATCATTCAGTCAGGGGAGGCTGAGCTTCTCCTTCTCTGAATGATTGTTTCCTTTTGTTTTTCCAGACATCTGAGTATCCAGTGATCCTGTCCTTGGAGAACCACTGCACCTTGGACCAACAGAAGCTCATGGCTCATCATTTGATCTCCATCCTGGGTGATGCTTTAGTCACGAAGCCTCTGGGCAACAAAATGCCCACCAACTTCCCCTCACCAGAGGTGTGTGTGTGGCCTTTAACCTCAGCTCTCTGATTCACACTACATACCAGTTTTTAGAGCCTTGCTGTAACTGCCCTCCCAGATTAAACACACCTTGAAATTCCAAGTTAATAAACCACTCTGCCAGTTTCTTTCCCTTTCCTGTTTACTGACTTGACTATTAGATTTGTCTGGGAAAGGAAGCTGATGAGATTAAAGTAACACCCCTCCTCATTATGTGAGCACCAAAAACCACTAGTACATAATCAAAACAGCATCAATTTCAAGTCTCTGCTCCTCCTCCATGTGTAGATAATGTTGGTACACAGGAGTTTTGCATTTTATTAGCCTGAGCACCTTGACAGAAGTTGTTAATTAACTTTTGTTAAGATCTGACTGTGCGGCTTGGCAGTGTGTGAGAGAACATGTTGTTTGATAAGCAAAGTTGTGGCCAGTGGAATTTCATTTGAGTGTGAACAGAGGTTAGTGTTTGCACTCAAAGCATGCAAGGAATCCACATAGTTTACATTATAGGAAAGTGTTTTTTGTTCCACAAACTGGTTGCAGTTTACACTTTACCTCACCTACCTCTCAGATATTTTTATCTCTCTTCAAATATCCCTTTGGCCTGTTCTGGCATTTCTTTCATTCTTATGTGTTTCTTCATTCTCTTTTCCATCTTCCTCATTTTTCCCCATATCTTCACCCATTTAAACCTTATATCTTTGTTAGTAAGGACATCTATGACTCTATGAACTGCTCCCATTATTAGGAGAGACACACAAAGGCGGGAAAGGGGGAATGTTAGCACCTCAAATCATCTTTCAGTGACATTCCTGAGCCCTTGTGGGCAGCCCTGTTCAAATGTAGCACCCATGGGATGAATGCCTGTGGCATTGTCAGGCTCAAATGAAATAAAAATTATGCATTACGCAACATTTTCCTCTCTGTCATCGAGAGGGGGTGACTAGCATTAACCAATAACACATGCTTTTTGCTATTGAGCAATAAGAATATGCTTCCCTGCATTCAGCAATTACGTGCCACATTACTGCACAGTGTGTATCATGAGTTTATTGTTTCTAAATTGTATAAAGAGACGTTTTGTCTGTTTCTGTGCAGGAACTGAAGGGCAAGTTCCTCATCAAGGGAAAGCGATTGAACAAACTGGATGCTTTCTTCAACAACAACAACACCGTAGAGGAAGACATTGTGTCTGAGGATGATGAGGCTGCAGATTGTAAGGAGAATGGCCAAAAAGCCAAACCAAAGGTGTGACAAGTGCTTATTACTCATCTGTAATATATTTTATTTTAAATATCGTCTTTGAATGAGCAGAACAAAACTGATCCACTATCCCGTCTCCTTTTAGAAATCAAAAATCAAACTTGCCAAACAGCTCTCAGACATCGTCATCTACTGCAAGAGCGTCCATTTTAATGGCTTTGAACACTCCAAGGACAACCAGGCCTTCTATGAGATGTCATCCCTCAAGGAGAGTAAAGCTTTCAACCTGGCTGAGACTTCAGGTAAACACCACATCTTACTAATCTGACTGACAAACTATGGGAAGTTTATGGAAAGTGTGTTAAAGCATCAGTGTTTTAATGTGTTCTCATTCTGTAGCTACTGCCTTCATCCATCACAACATGGACAAACTCATTCGAATCTACCCAGCTGGCACCAGAACGGACTCCTCCAACTATAACCCAGTGCCTATGTGGAACGCTGGCTGCCAGATAGGTACACTCCCATTACTACCTGCAGAAATCCAGCCAGAAGCACCCAGTCATATATGAAGTGTTATTGTTATATTAAGAGTAATGGTTTCACTTTCTTCTCTTTCTGGTTTGGTTTTTTAGTGGCACTGAACTTCCAGACTGCCTGCAAGGAGATGGATCTGAACCAGGGTCGGTTTCTGCCAAACGGTTTTTGTGGCTACATCCTGAAACCTGAATTTCAGAGAAACCTGTCCTCTCAGTTTGATCCCAACGCACTAACCAAGGGGCCGTGGCTAAAGAGGAAGACCTTTCATGTCATGGTAAGATTTATTAGAGGTTAAACTTGAAAGAAGGTGCTCCGTAGGTGCTTCTGTTTACATCCGTAAGCTTAGTGTGTATCCCCAAGTTCCAACAAATATTTGCAAAGGTCAAATTCTTTTGAAAACCAACTTTGAATTTGTATTTTAAATATTTACCAATTACTCTTGTAGGCATAATTCGGGTTTTTTTCCCCATATTTGTTTTGTCACATTTTTGTGTGTTTGTGTTTTGTGTGTCCCAATACAAAAGGTGATCTCAGCTCAACAGTTACCTAAAATCAACAAGGACAAACACAAATCCATCGTTGACCCTCTGGTGAGAGTGGAGATCCACGGTGTCCCAGAAGACATTGACAGCCAGGTGACACACCACATTAACAACAATGGTGAGCATAACACACAAACGTACACAGACGTGAAAACACTGAATTCTACCATACATCCTTTTTTATCGAAGCAAATGTCACACACTGTGGCAGCAAACTTATATATATACGGTATTATTAGTGAGTTGCACCAACTGAGCAATCCATCCCTGCAGGGTTCAACCCAATGTGGAATCAGAGTTTCCAGTTTGAAATCCACGTCCCAGAGCTGGTCATGGTGCGATTTGTGGTGGAGGACTATGACTCAACATCCCAAAATGATCTCATCGGGCAGTATTGTCTACCACTCACCAGTGTACAGAACGGTAAGACAGTGCAGCTCGAACAGACCTGGAGAAAGCACGAGATGTTAGCTGCTCTAGTGTGCCGAGATGTTGAACTAAGAGCTGAGAGGTTGATCAGTGAATTATCACGTCACACAGAGATGTTTATGTTTATAATAATTATGCAAGACAAGATAAGCAGCACTCTCTGGTTTTAATATTCACCTGCAACTTTGGCTTTGGTCATTGTGAAGCATTAACACTATCATATTTTTCAAAATGCCTTTAACAGCAGTAACTTTATCTAAATTATATGACTAAGGTTTTTCTGTCTGCATATGAAGTACGAAGTGGTTTTGACTTGCTGACGAAGCTAAAACTTCCTTTTTTTCCAGGTTATCGCCACGTCCCGCTACTCACCAAGCGAGGAGACGTCATCACATCAGCCGGACTGTTTGTGCATCTTATGCTCATCGACGCCAAGTAGGCCCGTGTTTGGAAAACCCTCAGTGCCAGCAGCAGCATTTCTTTTTTTTGGAAAACTCTAAAAGAATTTGTCCAGTTTTAAAGCTAAATAGTATAACTCTGATGAAATATAAGACTTTTCATGAAAAAAAACATCTGCTGTGCCGCAGCTGCTGACTCACATTGTCTGTGTAACACTTTCCTGTCATTGTGTAATTTTAGCGTTTTAAAGAAGTTTGGTTAAGAACTCCTGTAATGGTAACAAAGCAAGAGTCAGTGAAAATGTGAATGAATGAGAAATGGTGGAAATAATTTAAAGAAAGTCATTAAACTGTATGTGACATATTAGGGTGTGAGTACAGTAAATGATGTGAATTCCAGCTGAGGATATATTGGCTGTGTAATATCTGAATAGTACTTTTATAGATTTCTTGAGGCTTTATATTTCCTTTCAGGTCAATACAACTCATACTAACGCTCATGGAAACATTGTATTTATCAAGCAACTCAACAAGAACTCCGCTGGTTTAGTCTTTTATGACTCCTCCGACTACAACAAGCCTTGATTTAAGTTTTCTCAATGTTAATGCCATAATGATGATGGTCAGACGACGAGACGACAGTGGACGACAGTGGACGACTGCTCCACAATGTTTTTTTAATGTTTTTTTACAAGACACTAAAATCCTTTATAACTTCCTTTTTGAATATCAAGGAATGAACTGTATCATACATGAATCTGCTCTAAATATATTGGACAATAAGTATTTTGTGTCAAATAAATCCTGATCTTTTAAATCATATTATATTTTTATTTTTCATCATCCGATGTAGAACAGCAGTTGTTTCCGTGACTCATGACTGTCAGTGCTTTCTGTATGTCTTGTCACTTAATCCACATTTGCACTAGATCTCCAATAAAACCAAGTCCCAGATTGAAGGTTTTTGTGTGTTTATTCATAATATAAGTGATTCAGACATGGCAAATGACAATAATAGTTTGGAGAAAATTTGATCATGGTATGATCAGCATAAAACATTGAAAAATATAGATAAATATAAAGCATAACAATCAAAATATCTTATTTAAAATTTAAGTAAAGTTCTCAAAATTTGATTTTTGTTATCACAATAGTAGTAATCTAATTCTAGTCAACATGTTTAATCACTAACTTGGTTAAAACTATTGTCAGAAAGTTAAAAAAACAAAACAATATTTAGGTGAAATGATCAAGGCCTCTTCCTATCCTGTCTTTCTCAACAACAGTTAAAATGCGGTTTGTTTGTTTTACAGATACGTTTTCTTTGTATACAGTGAGACAAGTTTGACAACATTTAAGCATAATCCGACAGTAAATGTTTCTCAGAAAAGTCCCGCCTTTTTCTTCAAGTCACTCTGCCTCCACTTTGGCAGCCGCTGGAAGTCTGAGCGACCTGTTCCTAGCAGGTTCTCAAAATCCACATCAGACAGGTAGTCCTGAAATCAGAGCGCAGAGGAGGACAGCAAACAGTTAGGCTGACCTCTACAGTACTCACTGTGTTATTACATTAAGATACGTTTATATCTACTAATTACAACATGATTATTACCGCCCACTGCACAGACATGGAAAAGGGCCTGCCCACACCTTCTTACATAGGAGCAAGACACCCAGACTGAAAGAGACACAAAACAACTACAAAGTGTCTCTTTGTGGTTGTTTTATGTTTCAGAGAAACATGGTGTCTCCTTGTGGCCATTTTGTGTTTCTTTGTAGCCGTTATACATTGCTTTTAGGTGTTCTGCACATGTCTTTTTGAAGTTACTTGTGTCTCCTTTCAGTCATTTTCCATCTGTTTTTAGTTTTGAGTCTTTTTGTGTTGTTTTGCACTTGTCTCTTGGTTATTTTTTGTCTCTTTGTCATCATTTTGCATATCCTTGTAGTAGTTTGTGCCTGTTTCAGTGACTCTCTGTAGGTGAAGCTGTTGATTTAAAACTTTTTTTTTAATGTGCCCCAAATGACGACAAACGTAGATGTACAGTGACATAAAAGTCACATGAATTCTGATATGACTATTCACATTGAGGTATCTGATTAGGACCACATAAGAAATTGGCCAAAATCAGAATTGGAAAAGATCCGATCCGATGTGATTCGTGTTGTTGACACTGTGAACCATGCCATGGTGCCATTTGCACCAGACCCATTATTCTGCACTCACCTCTCTTTGGCTGGGGTCCACTCCCTGCGGCAGCTCACTGGGAGATTTGTTGATTAGGAGCTCTGGGTTCAGATACATTCCAGATCCTCCAGCAGAGGGGGACACAGTGCCACCAGCTGGGGATGATGGAGTGAAGCTAGAGGAAGGGGACAGGTTCATGGACACAGAGGTTTGGGCTCTCTGGGTAGACGGGCTAGTGGGAGTAGAGGGTCTGGGGGACAAATCACCATGGACCCTGTAGCCAGGAGGGGAGCTCATGGGGCCTCCTGGAGCCCTGTAACCACCTCCACTAATCCCAACAGGACTCTTATTGAGATTAGAGTTGTTCAGATCCTAAAGACATATGAAATCGGTGAGTGAAATCAAGATTTTTAAATGACATTTGGAAGAAAACATCAAAACTGTTCACAGATGATCACACAGAGACAACATTGCATTTGTGATATTAGTACATTTTGTCAATTAGTGGTAGGATTAGTGTCAGTCAATCACTTACTACAGTGATCTGTGAGAGAGATGCTGCATCACTCAGCTTTTTTTTCATCTCCTCATAGGAGTTGCCTCCCTGTTGAGAAGATCAAGTGAGCCAGGATTGAAAATTAGTAAGCATGCAGGGTCGTCTTCATCTTCAAACAATCCCTAAAATCATTGCTCGCACAAGATTATTCATAGTATTCATGTGACATTTGTGTCACTCTTCCATAATCAGTGTTGGATGTAGTAGTCATGCAGCATTATTGTATTAAAACCACAAAGAGAGGCTGTAACAGACTCACACTCCACTTATGTGGGTCCCATGCACTGAACCATCCGGTGAAGGTGGGCGGTTCGTATCCCTGTTTGACGAAGATGATGGGAGTGTCGGGGTCGCGTCCTGCTGGGTGGGTCCTCAGGTATTCCTGCGCACAGTTCCACGCCTCCTTGGTCTCGTACTGGTTGGCTAAGTTTCCAACCCACAAGAAAATCTGTCGTGATTTGGAAAAGAAGGAAAAAGAGAGATACATCTCTTCTAGGTCACTGTGAGGTGTGTTTAATCAAGTCCTTCCATTCCTTTATACATCTATTTGAGAGGGAAATTTTGCAATTTTTAATCCACTACATTTATTTGACAATTTGGCCGTAGGTACTGG